CGTCCAAAAAGCCACTTCAACAAAACTCTCAAGGAGAAAACTCAGTCCAGTTTCACTCTGTCCAAATCATTAATCATTCCTTCGAGCTGTCACGAAGAAAAACACAGGTATGATTATCGTTTCATCCAGATAATATAGAGTTGAGAGATGCAAGATTGACCAGAAAATTTACATACTTTAACAATTTGCCGCAAGAAGAAATCTCCATAGCGATTTACAGGCTTAGATTCCACAACATGAATGATGTCCTGCAATGAGATTACGTTAAAAGACAGCGTCCTTCGGGAACATCCATGTATTATCACAAGGTCGAAGTCCGATGGAATCCGATTTGTATGGCAGCATATAATCGATATACGAATATGATAGACCAGATAACAAAAAACTTATAGAAGAATCAAACAAATACAATCAAGACAATGATAAGCTCAGCATAACAGACATATGAACATTCGTTTGTTGTAAAAGGATAAAACAATAATAATAAAAAGAAAAAAGGAAAAGCTAAAACCAACCCACAAAATAAAATGTAAAGAACAAACAATGGATTACTTGAAGACATGTCGTGTGTTCTAAATTTAAATGCATTTGCAAACCAAAGAAGAGGTAATTGAAGAAAAGAAGACATACATCGTCAATGTAGAAATCCACGTCTGCATTAGACATAATTTTTCCAACACTATCAACGGCATGGGTTTTATGCTTGTATGTCAACAGAATAGTCCTGTAAATATTAAAAAAAAACATCGCTTAATTAATCTTAGGAAACAGGCAGCAGTGAATAAAGATAAGAAGTTGATATATTCTGCTGTATTTTAATTTCAACCTTAGTGTGGATTCATCCATTTCCATGTAAGTAGCAAGCTGCCCAAGGGAGATGGAGGAATACACTTTCAAGAAGGTCCGGATGCCAGACAGTAATTGTTGTTGCTTTACTTCATAAAGGAATAGTTTCAATTGAAGTCTATAGGCATCCTGAAAAAGATAAGAGATGGGAATAAAACTTCTGAAAGAGAGCCCAACACAGACAACACGCAGATGGGGTTTAACATGACCTCATGCCTGCATAGGTTTTGTGAAGAAATGGTAAAATCAAAGTCATCAATCTTAATCTACACTCCAATTCGGACAAAGCAGACAAAACTAGAAAAAGGTGCTTAAGACAAAATACATGTTAAGTCTTAAGAGAGATTAAAAATCCTCTTGAAGTAATAATTTTAGAAACTTCAAAGGAAACTCGAGTTGAATAGTCCAAGAATCAGCCAGAATATGAAATGTAGAATTCCAATGATATTAAAGAACTGTCTCAGCCAATTTATTTGCTTGTTCGTTCGTTCGTTCATTCATTTTGATTATAAACTACTTTGTGAAAGAATGAACTACAACGCACAAGGACAACAAACCTAAAGACTAAGCAAAAATTCATCCAACTGATAACATTTGTATCAATATCAAAAATACTCAAAGAAAAAGAGAGAGAAAAGAAAAGGCCCAAGAAGCTTTTGATGAGGCAACAAAATACTTCTTGTAATCCCTGTCACAGCCTATTTCATTGTAAGATTCAACAAATTAAAACAAGGATTAGACAATAAGACACAGCAAATAAAATGCACATTGCTTGATCCAAACAGCTAAAGAAAACTCAATGTAACACATGTTATTCTTTATCTCTACATCTCCTCTTCATATGCTTTGACTATTAAGCAAAGTATGGTCACTCAATTCACCTAATTTCAATAATTTGCATGGTCTCACAACACTAAAGTTTCTTGTCAACTTCATAACTGCATCAGATATAACTTCAAAAGGATTATCAATGGCGAATATATCTAGAACTTAATTTCAAAATAGCTGCTGCTTGCTAATAGTTACAAAACAACTACTTCAAAATTACAGATCTAAAGCTTACCTGGTTGTAGTTTACTAGAGGCTCCTCAAAACTAGGAGCAGATGGAGTGATGAACTTCGGACAAGCATATGAGAAAAGCTCGTCATAGATGGCAAAAGCTTCCTCATCATACCTTTGCATCCTTATCATCTTTTCACCATACTTCTCCCGCAACTGAGAGTTCACAGTTTCATCAACAAGCTTCACTTGTGGACAGAGTGAAACACATATGGCCAACAAGGCATACATTTGCTCGTTCTTCTTAAGAATCTGCTCATACTGAGGAGATTTCTGGTGGTATTGCTTGGTTTTATAAATATACAGGAGAATTCGGTTGAATTCATGAATAGCGTCCACGTACCTGAAAAGAGAGGGAAATGAGATTTATTAAGAATTCATTAAGTAAAAAATGAAGGGAAAAAGTCCAAGGCACTAAATACAGATGTAGGATGCACATGGTAGAGATGATTACTACCGTATAATGGTGATGCCTTGAAAGATTAAGTATTGAATAATGTTCTAATGCATATACATTGAAAAAAAAAAAAGGATGATGTATCGATGGGTTTCTTTCTTCAAACTTTGTTTATTTGCTTAATGCGCCAAAACACTCCTAAATGTACTAGTAATAAAGTTTATATGAAACAAGGTTTTGCTTCCTATAGAAAAATGCATGTTTGCAAAATATTGGCTTTAAATGGAGGTCAAGAAGAATTGAAATGCATGCGAAGTTGAAATAAGAAGATTGAAAGAACTAAATGGATTAATAGGGCAACTTGTCAGGATTCAAACAAAAAGATTCTCTTGACAAACCCACCTAAAATTAAAGAACTTTCTCGTAATCCATCCAAAAAAATATGTGGTAACTAGATAAGGCACTAACACCGTTATACATGCCTACAACAAAAATGCAAAACCCAATGAAAGGTATGCAGGGGAGGGAAAACAATGCATCAACAAGATGAAACACTACAAAGAAATGCAAGCGGCGGAAAAAATCCATACCTCCGCAACATTAGGTTGGCAAACCCGTAATGGTATATAGTAGTAATATGGCTTCCAATCACACTAGTAAAAACTCCTTGCTGGCTTATGTCAATTGGGAGTAAGCACTTCAAACCAGTGTGATAATCGCCTAACAGGCAATGAACCCGAAGTAATCCAACCATGCTGAAATATCCCAACACCTTCAAAACATTACTACTTCCACCACTATAGTCATACCCATCAGTGGCAGTAAATTGTTCTAGACCTTCTTTCTCCTCCTCAAGAATATGAATGATTGAGGATTTCTCCACAAATGCTTGCAAGTAGTTGAGGACACCATATACATTCCACGCCTATAATCAAACAACCACTGAAGTTAAGCTCCTAGTTCTTTGATATAGATAGACCATAGAAACCATTAAGACTAAACGGGCAAAAAAATTTGAAGTGGACGTGACAGCTAGAAGATGAGTGTATGAAGGATTGGTGACAGTTTGATGCAGGTACATCCAAACAAGGCTATCAAATTTGGAACAAATATCTGACCTAGTGTACACAAACTCCGTAAGAAGAATATAAAAAACAAAATAACACTTTCACATCTCATGGTCTTTACAAGATAGTCATTCGAAGTTTAGAAACCATGGAATTCAAGGATATTCCGGCTATTTTTCAACATCCTTGGAGAAGCTAAACGCGTCAAATCAAATCCTAAAATACCATAAATTTGATTAAACTAAATACACATTAGTTCATATAGAAGAATAAGAAGGCCAGGGAGTAATACTGTTTTGTAACCCTAGAGATGGAAAATAAAACAAATGAATCGTAGCAACCTGATCAAATTTTCTCAGGAGAGCAATTTCCTGCTCGGTCTTAGTCTTCATCTTGGCCCGGTATTGGCAGAAACTCTGGAACTGATAAACAAACTCATCCACCATATCCCATAGCCACTGGTTAGGCAATTGCATATTAACGACTCCGTGCAAAACCACCTGAAATAGGCTACAATAATTATCCCACGAGTCAATCCTCTGCTTCAAAGTTGGTGATAACCTCGCATAGAGATGGCGGAACCACATCTCACGGTAAAGCAGGCAGAAAACATGGTCATTATCCACAAAATGAGCTACGGCATCCACTGACGGCCAAGGTGTGTCCTTGAATAGGCGGTCCGATAAGGACTGAAAGGAGGTTTCATACATTTGATGGGTTTCGTATACATTCTTCTCACGGATATGCCGGTATAAATGAACGACAAAGGACTTGACGGAATCTGGAACGAAATTGGGGTCATAGCCAATATCTTGGCCAGCCGGAGATGGCGCCGTCGCGTGCCGGGGGTCATCATAGTTGGCACCTGAGTCCTCGTAATCGTAAGAGGCCATGATGACTGAATTCAGCTGTTACTGAGGTAGACGGAAATTAGGGTTGGAGAAGCAAAGGTTGGAAGGTACTGAGGCTCAAATTTTCAATGTTCCTGAACCTCATGGATCAGAATTTTGGGCTTCATTGCTATTGGCCCATTACATGATTTCAGTAAGCCCAATTTGTTCTTTTCTTTTTCTTTTTCTTTTTTAATGTTTCAAAATCTTATAGGTAAGTGAGACATTTAAGCCAAATTTGCGGTAATAAATATTTTTAATAAAATAAAGCTTAACATTTAAACTTAAATTAAAATTTTAAATAAAATATTTATTAATCAATTTACTCGCTGCTGTTAATAATATTTTTCAGCCTAAAAAAAGATAAGTTTACATTTTAATGAAATTAATGATAAAATATGAACATTATAAAAAAAAAATAAAGAGCTAAATATTGAAAATGGTTATTAAAAATTATCAATTTTTTTTTTTTTTAGCACAAATATTTCTTTTGATGGTGTTTACCGATTCACTAAAACCTCATTTATATTATTTACCCAGTTAATGAAATATGCATGATTAACAATTACGCCCTCCCTCGAGAACAAAATATTACAAATGACGTGGATGGACTTTGTTGAAGATATTTAGTACTAAATTTTATGTTTTATTATAAAACATGTTTTTCTTACAGTCTTTCCATTTATTACTATTTTCATATCCTTGTAATTTATTTGTTATTTGACTATAAATAGGTGAGGTGGATTAAGCAAACATTCTCAAACTTTATCAACCCAAGTAACAAATGAGCTATGAATCCAACCGCTACTCTTTGATAGTGTGGCCTAAGAACCTATCAAACCATTGGCTAGCTTCTTTTACCATCTCAGGTGTCATTTCATGGCCAATCCCAGGTTGTGCGATGAACTGCAGAGATAAAATAAGAATATGATCAATCAACTATATCGAAACAAAAAATGGGAGAGATTGTAGACACGTCGACACCATGGAAGGATGCAATAACTATGTTTCTACTTTGCTTCACATATGATATCCCACATCGATTGGAGGGAGAAACAAAACACTCTTTATAAACATAGTGTGAAAAGAAAACCCCAAAGCATACGTGTTTTAAAAACCTTGAAGGGAAGCTCGAAAGGGAAACCCTAAAGAGAACAATATCTACCAGCGGTGGACTTTGGCTGTTCCAAATAGTATCAGAGCTGCCAGCGAGGATGCTGGGCCCCGAAAGGGGGTGGATTGTGAGATTCCTGAGCATACTATTTTAAGAACCTTGAGGGGAAGCCCGAAAGGGAAAGCTCAAAGAGAACAATATCTCCTCATTTCACACCAGATGTACATACCTTAAAATTTTCTGGACAACCAAACCTCTGATAAGCTACCTGGGTTTCCGACACGAGAGCATCCAAACCAGCAATCGGACATCGAGGGTCATCTGCACCTATTGTTTTTCAAATCCAAACTGCACATTAACAATACTTGAACAGACCACAGAGATGCAAGCATGGTTTTTTTGTTCATACTGCATATTCCAATCATCCAATGCCTCTATATTTGATGTTGGTTTGTGATTATAGCCATATAGTAGAGGCAGGATATGAATGGTACCATTTAATAACAACAAAGGACGTGGTGCGATAGCTGGAACCGAATAAATCGAGCCAAATTGGGAAACTAAACCAGGAGCAATCCTATTCCAGACCTGAACAAAACAGTAGGAAATAATCATAGTAATTCAACTTCAAATTACTAAACCAGGAACTTGAAACAACAAACCTTCTTCACCACTTCTATGTTGATCTCGTTCATGCCTAATTCGATTCGGGCTTCTGTAGACGAGATACAAAGACCAGTCATGTGTATTTATAAAGTGATTCGTTTTTTCAACAACTTAAAAGATGCTCCAGCAAGAGGTTACAGAGCCTAAGCCTATCGCTAGCAGATATTGTCTTTTTTGGATTTTTTCTTCCGGGCTTTCCTTTAAGGTTTTTAAAACTCATCTGCTAGGGAGAGGTTTCCAAACCCACCGCTAGCAGATATTGTCCTCTTTTAGTCTTTCCCTCGAAGTTTTTAAAACGCATCTACTAAGGAGAGGTTTCACACACTTTTTTAAAGAATGTTTCGTTCTCTCTCAAACGGATGTGGGATCTCACAATAATGATCTTACTTGTCAGTCAACAGTAATTAATTACTCCATTTTGTTTATAAATTCTTAAATGTTTTCTTCTTCCTAGCTTCTGATTCTATGTGTAACCACTATCAGTCACCCTGCTCTGTCCTTCACCAACTACCATTCATTCACCTTACCCTCGAAAACAGGTTTTATACTCTCGACTCGTGCCTGCCACTTATCGTTATCTATGGCCCATCGAAAACACTGCAATCATATCACAAAATATCAGCTGGACTAACACAAGATCCAGAGTGTCATCATTTGGGTGAACTACCTGCACTCCAATTATGGGGACAACCACGGAGTAGCGAGTATCAGCAGCAGCAGCAAACCATGCATGCATTCCTGCAATGAAAATGTGAAACGCAAGCTATATATAACAAAGGAAAAACATGTTCTAATTTGGTCCTTATTTTACTTTTGACTGACCTCCAAGTGATTCGCCAGTAATTCCTATTCTACATGGGTCAATGTCCTCCCTTTTCGTCAGATAATCCGCCAGTTTTATCAAGTCCCATACCTGCAAGTGATTTAGTCTATCACTACTTAGTCTAACTGAAATTAATCCGTTGGTTACATTTGCAGCTAATTGTTCCATGAAACGAGACGCTACCGTGTCAAATATGAACGGCATGGTATCGCCTTTTTTCCATGAAGATATAAGAGCCTGCACCAGATTATGACATCAGGTTAGGATTTAACTCTGCAAAAGAAAAGGGCACTTTTCTGCAGAGACTAAGAAGAGCTAGAAAGTCATATTAACATATCATGGGTTGATTGACAATATCACTTCGTTGGCAGCCAGATTCAATAAGAAGATATGCCAATTCATTGCCTGAGATTCTGAGAAAATTTAAGACTTTGTGTTCACAGCTTCACTAATGGGCGACGAGTGATAAGCTAGTCAGTCAAGTAGTGAGCAAATTTTTGAGTTTCGGAAAACTCATAGATAAAAATGTAATAGCCCAAACCCACCGCTAGCAGATATTGTTCTCTTTCGGCTTTCCCTCAAGGTTTTAAAACGCGTCTACTAGAGAGAGGCTTCGACACCCTATAAGGAATGTTTCGTTCGATCTCATAATCCACCTCCCTTGGGGGCCAACGTCCTTGCTGACACACTGCCCGGTGCTTGTCTCTGATACCATTTGTAACAGCTCAAGCCCGTTGCTAGTAGATATTATCCTATTTGGGCTTTCCCTCAAGGTTTTAAAACGTGTCTACTAGGGAGAGGCTTCCACACCCTTATAAGGAATGTTTTGTTCCCCTCTCCAACCGATGTGGGATCTCACAATCCACCCTCCTAGGGGCCTAGCATCCTTGTTGACACACTACCTGGTGCCTAGCTCTGATACCATTTATATCAGCCCAAGCCCACCGATAGCAAATATTGTTCTATTTGGGTTTCCCTTCAAGGTTTTAAAACGTGTCTGCTAGGGAGTGGTTTCCACACCCTTATAAGTAATGTTTCGTTTCCCTCTCCAACCAATGTGGGATCTCACAATCCACCTCCCTTGGGGGCCAACGTGCTCGCAGACACACCGCCCGGTGCCTGTCTCTGATACCATTTATAACCGACCAAGCCCGCCACTAGTAGATATTGTCCTATTTGGGCTTCCCGTCAAGGTTTTAAAACGAGTTTACCAGAGAAAGGTTTCCACACTTTTATAAGAAACATTTCGTTCCCCCCTCCAACCGATTTGGTATCTCACAAAAAAACAACTCAATTGGCTAAAACAAAGCGACATAAACAACAATCAGCATACATCATAGTAGGTGGATTTGTTCTTGGCCCTTTCACCGTGGTAACGAGAATCAATGGCAATAGCTACATAACCCCTTGATGCATAAGCCTGAAAGAAGCAAGAATACATTGCATTATCTAGTTTTAACAACTTGTGATATCCACAAAAGCCAATAGCAAAAGAAACCGACACCTCAAGCAATGGTCTCAACCACTCTTTACACTTGTTTGTACTGTGCAGAAAAACAATTGCAGGTCTTTTCTGCTGTCTGCTATCCTTCATGCTTATAATCAATATAGGCAACTTCCCTTGCTCTCCTTCCTATAAATGATTAGTAAACAACTACATTATTCCGTTAAATTCCGTTACATCACGTCCCGCGTATAGTTAACGCGAAAAGTACGAGAGCATGCTTGCCTCGGTAGTCAAGTGAAGATTTTCCTCATGAAGCAAGTCCTTCAAATTGCTAAAAGTTGCCTTTGGACAAGAAGCCATAGCCTTTAAACAGGTAAGTAAATCAACATGGGCAGGCTACTATTTAAACGAAGACTAAAGAATGAAAATATAACACTGCATCGACCTTACTGAAGGTTGTCGGGTTGGGCTCCTGAATCAGAGGGTGGTGAACAGGCGGTGTGCGCTTCACATTAAGCGGTACTGCGAAGTTCAATTAGACATCATAGATTCATAATTTCTGCTGTATGAAAAGTAAACTGAAGGTAGCCTAACTAATCCTGCTATTAACTGACTTGTTTGGGAGATATTCAACTTCAAATCTAACTTTTACAGCAATCTTTAGAACATGTTCCTACACTTAACTAGTCAAAACAAGTACTCCTCAAGTAAGAAAATGAAAGCTCCAGCTGAACTTTATAATGGCCCTCAACTTTCTTACAAGAATTTCTTCGGGTTAGTCTTCGCTACCCAGTGTTTGAATCCCCAATTGACTAATTAAGGGAAAGATTATAGGTAATATATAAGTAAGGAACGTGCACTCGTAAGAGTTTTTTTTAGAAAACTAAAAGAAGTTATGTGAGCCTATTCTTAAAGTGGACAATCCACACCGTTGTGGAGGTTCGTTGTTCCTAGTAGTGGTATCAGATTCATGCCCTTATCTTAACTTAGACATGTCAATAGAATTCTCAAGGGTCGAACAAAGAAGTTGTGAGTCTCAAAGGTGTAGTCATAGTAAAGATTCGTGGTAGAACTCTATTACACTAGCAATGCGTTCCAAAGAAGAGGATAGTGCTATAAGAATAGATATGACTATTCAAGGAGAGACTGATTGTATACTTTGTTCGATGGGAGAATGGTTGGAATCTCACGTTGGCTAATTAAGAGAAAGATCATAGGTATATAAGTAGTATACTATTCCATTGGTACTAGTCATAAGAGTAGACAATACCATATCATTCTCAAGGTCCGTAACAGACTCATTGATGAATAAAAAGAAGAAACAAACACGATTCTCGAATGAAAACTGGCTAATTCATACGAAGAGGCAAAACATTCATCAAAAGATGTGGAAAGCAAGATTCGAATCAAGCAAGAATTTCAGAGCCAAAATTCACAGACTTCTGAGCTACCCAGAACAGACGTCAAAAAATTCAAGGTAAACTAAAACAGAGAATAGAGAAATGACATTCGAATTCAATTTCGTACCTTCTGGAGATCGTCTACTACGCAAAACTCGAAGGAATTCAGCCCGAAATTTGTCGGCGTCAACGACAGCTTCATCCATGGCTGCGACCCGGTACGAGGATTTAATCCCATTGGAATTTTGGCGGTTCCATGGCGAAGTTGCTGCAAAACAGAGGCGTGTTAGGGAGGGGCGGAGTAGGGCGTCAGGTATGAGAATTGCCATTATTATTGTACTGCGTAGTTGGCCCACATCGTTTTTCCGACAGACTGAATGGCTGACGCAAAGTTGCCGCCTTTTCTTTTTCCTTATCGTTACAGTATGGTTTGCGTAATTTTGCAGACAGCAGGCACTCGCCTAATGCCGGTAAGGACCGGCTTGGCTGCATGTAAATATAATATCGAGTCTTTTACATGCCCACTTTACATTTAATTATCTTGATTTAAAATCTAACCTTCTAAACTTTCATACGGTTAGACGAACACGACTCTCTACAATTTTGAACTTTCATGACTTTGTTTTGAACTTTTTCAAAAGGCCTCGTACAAAAAAATATTATTTATTTATAAACTTATAATCATTCTCTAAATTAACTACGACTTTCATCATCCAATCAATACAATTCTCCCTTGCGTCTCCACCACTGCGTATCTAGTGATACGCATGCAATCAAGGGAACTTGAAGCGGCAGACACGTCATTTTTCTATTAATAAAAATATATATTTTTTTCTCTACACTTATTTCTATCTCACAATCATAGAACACAATTTTATTTACAACCACGTATGATTATAATATAATTTATTTGTAAGGAATTTCATTTAATTGCATAGTAGAGGAATTAGGTGCACGTGCCTTTCCAAACGGTAAAATATTTTGGTAGGTAAGAATCTAACTCATTGAGAATATATTATAATTCACATCACCGTCAGCCTTCCAGGTTACCCATTACGCACAGCCTTACAGGCTACCCATTATGCATTCTTACCAATTATTGTTTTGGTCGGTTACATATCGTTGTTTTACTCGTTGTGCAGTACTATCATTGTTTTGGCCCGTTACGTATCGCCGTCAAGCTCACGATTTATTGTCGTCAGTTTCATAGTTTTGAAATATTTTGGTCTGTTACGTATTACTATCCAGCTCACGATTGATCCGTTATGCATCATTGTCAGTTTCACGGTTTTAAAGTGTATCGAATAGAAAGAGATTTCTCTATACTGTTACAAGGAATTTTTCATTCCACTCTCCAACTGACGTGAAATCTCACAATTCACCCACCTTCGGAGGCCTAAGGTCCTCACTGGCACACTGCCCAATGTCCGACTCTAATATCATTTGTAACAGCCCAAACCCACTAATAGATACAGTTAAATTTTGTCCATTTTGGCCAATTACTATCATCCTTACAATTTTAAAACTCAAACTTATAAATGTGAAATCTCTTGGATTCAACATTTAATACGTTTCAATGAAATTATTTTATCATGAGTCTCACATCTTTTTAAAATGTCTTTATGGCAAGTAATGAATAGAGCCCATGAAAGTTTATGATAAAATATTGTTCTGGACTGAGCTTCTTGAGAAAGTCGCCTCCTTTAGTGGCCAACGCAGATATAAAAGCATTGCCTGTAACAAATGCAGTACACAAGATTAGTTGTAGGCGAAACTACTCAGGAGGTTACAGATTAATGTAGACTGAATTTCCCGATTATAGTAAAAGAAAGGAAGTAGTTCAATACAATAATTCGAACCCTTAAAAAGAAGCAGCGTAGAGATTAAAGATGGCATAAAGTGAACCAAATCGTTCTTGTTTTGTTTTAGTAAATATATGCATAAAGTGTGTGGATGTGGGAGGCTGATTAAAAAATGGAAGTGCGTCTCAGTTTGGAACATAAAGTAACTAATACCTTCCGACGATGTTTGGGTTATTAAAAAGGATATTGTTTGGCTTTATAAGGGTCGACAGGACCCAACCACCCCAGTAAATTGCCTGCATTAGCTGCCTTTTGAATGGAACATGCATGCCACCACGGTCTTGATAGACCCTGGTATCTGGATATTGTCCACGAGTAAAAGCAACTGCCAAATATCTACAGTAATCCGTGCAAAAGTAGAGCAGAAATCACTTATTAAAGAAATAAAATCGTATATTAGGACCCATTACCGTACACCTCGAATATTGTGATTCACAGAACTTCATGCTGACAATCTTTGGTACAAATGCATATTGCGTTCTTGGGTTGTACGAGCTCATCATGTCATGTCTACCAGCTTCATTGTCTGCAACATTTTTGGGAAGGAAGCAGTTCCCTAGCAAATACATTCCCAACCCAAAAAACTCCAATGTCCAAGTCAAAGTCCGTACAATAACAACATCTGTAACTTAAGCGTGTTCCAGAAAAAACTGCAGTTTCACTGTACGCAATTTCATAAAGTTAAACCTGATAAAAATAAATCTAAGCTTCGATGAAGTGCGAAGCAGTATGGTTTGGTTATGGACTTAGCTCTTCGTGCTTCCGGCAAGCTTTTTTTATAGAGAGAGAGTAAGGGAGCGGTACGGAAGATTGTTCCATTCCACAAAGCTGAGCTTTTCAGTTCACTCCATTGGCCTTCTTACCAGTCTGCCTCCTTTCTCTTGATGGAATATAACAATATCCGAGCTCTTGCTTTGCTTGCGTTCTTCACCGGTGCTTGTCGGGGCTGTCTCACTTATCCTGCTCCCAAGGTAAGGAGCCATGTCTACTGTGTGTTAGGGGTTCCCCTCTTCTTTATTTGTCGATTGAGTCACGGTAAAGGTTCTGTACGATTATAATACTCGTAACTTTATTAAAGAGGGGACCATCCACACACCTAGTATAATATTCATAAAAGAAATCAAATACTAGTACAGAGTTATCCTCACTCATATACTATGATCTCTCACTTATCGAGTCAATACGAGACGTTCAGTCATATTCCGAATGAATCCACATAATATGATCAAAGAAGAAAGCACAAGGTATTGGTAGACTCACTTGGTTCCTTAGAGGCTGTCGAAGTAAGGGGTATCTTGTTCAAGTCATTCTCTTTTCTCTACGTAAAGAAAATGATGTAGTAGCATCTATAGACACAGTTCAAGCCTATGCAGTTATAGGGTTTTTTTTTTATTATTATTATTATTTATTTAAAAAAGACAGTTTTAGGAGTTTGAATTAGGGTCTTTGATGACTATAATCAACGCTGTTCTAATTAAGGTACAAATGGGGTAGTCCTCCTGAGAGTCCTAGGCTACTTGTGCCCCACATGGCCACATCAAAAGCATTACACTTCGAAGACATTTTACGGTACAATAGTTTTACTCAAAGGGCACAGCTTCTGATTTCTGATATCATGAACTTTTGAGGGACAATATTATTATTAAAAAGAAAAAAGGATAAACCTTCCTTGGACCAGTAAGAAGCCAATAGTACTCTCTAGAAGATGACGTGTCCAAAAACAATGGGCCTTTAAAGCTATATTCACTTCGTTTCTTTCTTTTATCTTTTTAGTTTTTGTTGGGGGAAAAGGGTTAAAGTGAATTGGATAATGTTATGTGAGGCTCATGTGCGAATTCAAATTTTCTATGTTTCCTTTCGTTATCCATACAGACCCTCTTCTTCCAAATTTTACCCTCAGTCCTTATTTCCCCCCCCCCCCCCCCCCCCCCCCCCCCCCCCCCCCCCCCCCCCCCCCCCCCCCCCCCCCCCCCCCCCCCCCCCCCCCCCCCCCCCCCCCCCCCCCCCCCCCCCCCCCCCCCCCCCCCCCCCCCCCCCCCCCCCCCCCCCCCCCCC